GCGTAAAACAAAGCTGTCAATCAGCGGCCGTTATTTAAAGGTGCGATTTGTTCTTCAACCTCGTTGCTCAGCTTCCTCGACGATAAAGCGCTACCTACACATCCATCGATTGGCCTTTTCGATGTTGATAACTGTCGACAAGTAACAACGCCGGTTACAGATACTTGATTCTCGAAAGAGATCGGCTATGATTCGGTTGGACAAAACTCCAGCCGATGAAACTGTTTCTCCCACGAGTATATAAGTACGCTCCAAACACTTTGCATATATTATAATAATTATTACATTACCGATGTTATTTCTTGTTGCCCCAATGCGAACCGTCGCGACCGTCATGAAAATTGATGGTCGTCGAGTTCCGTATAGTGACGTAATCGTCATTGCGAGGTTCCATTACACTAGAATAAAAATAAACGCGCATCACCATGATTATTCCGTTAGCGTCATCGTACATCAATATACTTTGCACAATGTCAATTTCTAATAAATAAAAGAAGCCAAGTTATATCGGCACACACACTCGATCGTTGCTAATGCAAGCTCGTTTTTAGTCGAGCTGGTCGGTTTTCAGTATGGTAAAACGCTCGCGAGTAACCATCATTCTCATAACACATGACGGCGCCAAGAATCTGTCGTCTTTTTATATAGTCGATTTGACATTCTTTTTCCTTTTTACTCTGTGACATAAGATACCTAGATAGATATTTTGCTACGACCGCACGATGACTCGCGGTCACGCGTACAGAGACGAGAAAATTACTATCGACTTAGAAATAAACACATGCAAGAAATTTGATTACGTAGAAACGACACCGTACAATAGGTATGTTAGAACAAGTATAAGTACATACCGTTGCGACAACAAATGTATAGCTTTTTTTAAACTGCCACTGATACGCGAAATTCTTTTAATTGTTTTAAACATATCTTGACCAGAACAACGAGAGATCAACATTCTTACGAAGACTTGTTTTAACAAATCTGCGCTATAGTTACAGTCTATTTTAATGAAATATCTCTACGTATCTTACACATATTATTGTCACAGAATCAACATTTGATAAATTTTGAAGGCATTGGCAACTTAATGAACTATCTTAAGCTATCAGATCAATCTGATATGCGATACAAAAATGTAAACGTTGAATTGTAAATTAGAGTCGCTGGAAATTTATGTAGAAATATATGTATAAAAATTCATAGCTAAATTGCCAATTGATGACGATGAAACATCAATTTTAAGTTTCATCCGATATATTTAGGCCCGTATTCAAAACGCGCTTTTATCTCTGAAATTCTATAATATGCGTGACGTAAAGTATAGCATGTTAGCGCGCTAACATCGTTGTAAGCGCGTTCTGAATACGAGCCTTACAATATATCTTGAAAATAATATATGAAATAAAATGCGTTCGGGGAGACGTTATTAGCGCTATTTGTATCATTCTATCCTTGTTTTATGTCTAATAAACAACGAAGATAGAATGATAGAAGTCATATACTTCCACCATGGACAGAAGTAGCGCTAATAGCATCTCTTCGAACGCACCAATAGTGAGCAAGCAGTATGTCAAGTATACACTTTGTCAAATACATTCAAGTGGAACATCAGCAGATTGACTGCGTTCGAATCAGTTCGCTTTCCTCTAACTTCGCCATAATCTTGAAAGCTGATAGGTTGCGGTTTGATTCATGCTCATAATGCTTATGAGCAGTCAGACCAGTCATACATCGACAAAAGATCAACCATCAGGGGGTCAATCATGAAACTTTTTTCCTAGGATGAAAAGTGAAAAGTGAAAAATTTCTCCATTAAACTTCAATGGTTAAAATTTTCACTTTTCACTTTCCATCCTAGGGATAAAGTTTCATGATTGATACCGTGAAATCGCGAATGAAATGGAATATATTATTTGATTAGTCAAGGAGTAACATATTCTGTTTGGTTTCTGCGGTTAATCTGCCACTATATTGTTACATAACTATAAAACTTAAAGTAGTAATCTTGCAAAGTGCATTTTCGACAATTCGATTGTTTTGATATTTTTGGAAGATTTCATTGTCTAAAAATATGATTAATTCTTTCGACAGTTGTATTTTTGAACTGATAATTCATCATTGCCTATGCCTTCGAGATGACGGTGATATACTAATGCCTTGTTTTATTTATTCAATTTAGCTTATCAACCACCCTTTTAAACTAATTTATAAAATCAGAGCGAGCTTCCCTCTTTCTGTTTTACAATCAATGCTGTCGTGCTTCGAATAAGAGATAACTTGAAAATAATAAGCATAAATGTAACGGAATATCCGTATTAATTAACAACATAAAAAAATGACAAATAATCTTAATTTTGCGCCAAGGAGTAAAAGAGGGGTAGTGCTATGAAGGTCTCCTTCTACTAGTCTCGTCTGTATTGTTATTCGGTTACACAGTGCATACAAAAATAATATTTAATATGTATAATTAATTTAATTAATATTATACTATGCTACCACATACAAAAATTACATTAAAAATAATGAATCATTATGAGTAAGTGTTTCGCTCTCTCTTTCCTTAATATCCTAGAAATAAAGTCAAATAGATGTATTTATTAATGAAATTTTGTATCTATTAATGAGAAATCTATTTATTAATGAGAAATCTATTTATTATTCTTAAAAATAACATTACGCACTTTTTACTGTATTATTACATAATATGAAATCAACTAAAAAAAATTGATAACGTTCATTGTGTGTGTGAAGCTGGCATCTCACTTGGAAACTCATTAAATATTCTGAGTTTATTTTCAATAGTTTTATAGTTCTATATAGATTAAACAAATAGTTCCGAACATTAAACCCGAGAAACTAAAAATTCAAAATGAGACGTCAGGTTCACACAGAGCTCATTTTGTCTAATGAAAATTTCAGTTTCTTATAAGATTTAAAAAGACACTTAGTTCTAAAGAGAGTTTTGGTGATTAACATTGTGTTATTCCGATTTTTAAACAATTATTTTCCCCTTAAAAAGTGGTCTTTACGGGAACGAAGATGAAACGCTGTCCGATTTTGAAGAGTTAGTTCTACGATAATTCTCGTATCGTTCCGAATGTATTCTAACATTTTCTGAAGAGTTCTGAAGAGGTCATATACACTAATTGTTTATTTTTTAAATAATTTTTATCGCTCGAAAAAGAATTTTCGCGCCTTTCAGGGAATATGTGTGAGACGCTGGCCGATTTCCGACAGTTTTGTGAGTTCTATGGTAATTCTCGTATAATTCTGAATGTATCCTAACGCTTTCCTAAGAGTTTTAATCATTTTAATTATTTCATCACAGACATACAGGATATACAATTTAACGTCGGTTCCAAACGGCAGTTTGAAAGATTTTCTTGGCAATAGATACTCTTGATGGTTTGCCAGACCGCTGCAGAAGCTATGAGCGCGTGAAAATTTTTTGGATCTGCCGGGGATCGAACGCGAGTCCTCTGGCATGGTAGACTTGCGCGCTATCCACTATGATCATTTTATGTATTTAAATCTTTTCTGAAGAGTTCCTATTGTGTAAAATATTTGTTAATTTTTAAAATAATTTTTATCACCCAAGGCAATTAGAGGTCTCCATAGTCCATAATCTCTCCTGTCAATCCTAAAACATATTTTAAGGAACGATAATTTGTTGTCATTTTAAAGATATTTTAATGAGGTTTTTAAAAAGTCATTTTAAATAGCTCGTCTTTTCAATGATGCTCACTAGGTTGAAATGTTTGCGCTCTATAAACACATTGGCTGCGTTCGGTTTGTACGCTCGCACACTGTAAGCGCTCGTGCTTATAAGCGCTGCTTTTTGGTGTTTAATTTGGTTTGTCAGTGCTCACATTAAATAAGTGAAGTCGTTCATTTTGGCTATTGTAAGTGTTAAGCTTAGGTATGTAATTAATAATTGACTGTAAGTAGTAATTCGCTTCTTATACACTGAAAATAAAAATTTATGAAATTTTAATAAATATTTGTTTAAAATAGTATCAATGAGACATTTGCTAATAGCGAATAAAAATATATTTATTTACTGTAAACAAAACGTATCATTGATACTATTTAAACAAATATTACAATTTTGTAAATTTTTTTCAATGTAACCTTTTTTTTTGTTTTATAATCTCTTGTTTCCTTCCACCAAAGGTGCATTCAAGTCGTGATACTTCACCGGGAATTGGAGATATCATGTATATATTCCCAGTCTGTGCATTTTATAAATCAACTATAACTTTATCTGTTAATGTCATCTTTGTATGAGTAAATTATTTTTCCTATTTTCTTGATGAAAATTTAAGCATCTAATTCCTTGTTGAACAAAGTCTTTTTTTATTAGTATATATATATATATATATACACAAAATCGGAAAACGTTCGTAGACGTCGTATACAAGTATATTACGAGAGCGTTAAAATATGGACGCAATCCGACACATTCGTTAAACATTTCTCTAATCATGAAAAAACGTGCATATATCTAACCTACTAGGATTAGGATCGAACATTGCTTACGTTTATTTTGGCCAATAAGCGCTTATTTGTGCTCACGCTTTTGCTGCCCTATCTCGATGAAGGCTGTGTTCCAAATTTACCGCCAACACTGAAAATGCGACAGTTTACGTTACGTGTACTATAGATTTTCAGCACAGGCAATCAATTTTGGAACATAGCCGAAATAAGCATTTGTGAGCATAAGTATGACGTCACGGATGATGTCATGAACGCATCTCTGAGCGCTTACACCGCCAAAGCGAACAACGTGAGCAATGCTTATAAGCGCTTAAAGCGTGTAAGCGTGCAAACTGAACGCAGCCATTATCTGTTATCGGATGACAATGCACATAATAATTTTTGTAAATTTTATAATTCGTCTTTGTCCCTCGACGATACTTATTCATTTTGCATTAATTATCTGTGATCCTTCAAATTGATCGAGATGATGTAATGTTACCAAATGTTACGAACGCATCGGACGCGGACCATTCGTCCGCTTCCCGCGATGAATCCGCGCGCATTCATGAATTACGTTCAGTTCCAAAAATACAATGCTCCCGTCACGTTTCTGCTTACCGTATTATGAGACGAGCGTCGGCTCATTCTACGCGCGCGTGTTGGAGCACATTAATTTTTTTTTGTCATGCATACAAGTGAAGATCGAACACAAATCGAATTTGGTTTCATCTTTATATTTTATATTTTCTGATCACATGAAGGGTTGCGTTCGTTCTACGGTTTCGGCGCTCCAACCGCGGCAAACCAGTGAGAGGAAGCGGAAGCTGAAAGTAGCGAGCATGCGAGCCGATAGAGTCGGTCGACAATGTCGACGCTCCGATCGATCGGAATTCGCGCGTGTCGACTGAGACGTTTCGGATCGAACATTGTCAGGTCGGTTAGTAATTCCAAACAGACGGCGAGGAGAAAGAGAACGAGAGAATGAAGAGGAGGAAGAGAGAGAGAGAGAGAGAGAACGGCAGATCGAGAGTGGAAGGGAGAGAGGAGACTGCTGGGCGCACGCACGCGCGCGCACACGCTAGCGACGCGGAGCGGACGTGCGGAGCGGAGGCCCGAGACGCGGCAGCGGCACGGACAATATGCGTCGACGACCGGCGACGCCGTCGCACATGCGCGTCCTGACGCGCCCCTGTTCGTTCACCGATTTCGATTTTAGTCACTCCCGGGTTCGGCTTCGGAGAAAATCGTCCCGCTCTGCGGCATAGCGCGCGCGCGGTCAGCCACGGGGGCCACCACCCAATTCGTGTCGCAATCACTAAAACTACGCTAACGATCTCTCGTAGAGTCTGAGGACCGGCGCGCGATATATCGGGATATATAGGTGCCGTCGAAGGGTGGCGCGTGGCCGATAATCTTCGCCAGGTGATCTCACGAGGATAAAGTACGAGAACGCTGAACGAGCAAGAAGAGGGAGAGCAAAAGAGACAGAGAGACAGACAGAGAGAGAGAGAGAGAGAGAGAGAGAGAGAGAGAGAGAAAGAGAAGTAGGCGCGAGCGCGGGACGGACACGCGCGACCGTCGATCTCTCCACGGATTCGACGATTGTCTCGTTCTATCGTCATCGTCATCGTCGTCGTCGTCGTCAAAGCCGCGGGAAACGACCGTCCAGTCCGATCGTTCGGCGAGCAACACGCCGTGGCATTATCGCGACGAGTAAAACCGGAGGAACACTCGGAGAGGTGAGATAGCGCTGCGCTTTCGCGAATCGATCGGGAGTACGTTGTACGATGTTTGACATCGCCGATCGTTATTTGCGATTTCGAAGATCTGTTACGCGGTCGCGTCACGCCGGTCACGAGCCACGAGGTTCGATACGAGTGGCCGAGGTGCAGGGCAGTCCGCTTTCCGAGCATGCTGTGTCGCGCGCACTTGTCACAGTCACCGTGTTTTATAACCGCCGATCCTCGCGAACGACGCAGGACAAAGAGTAGGTGTAAGAAGCGCGCGCGGAGAGAGGGAACCGGTGCGAATAGGTGGAGGACGGGACGATAACGTAGAGATGACGCGCTCCTCGACGTGTCGGAGGAAGAGAAGAGG